AATATTGTCAAGAAATGTTTGCTGTCTTTTGGCCTGTGCTGGTCCCTCTGCAGCTTGACCAGCAAAGCCTTTTGTTTTGAATTCCTAATTGCTGTAAATTTGCAAGTTTCTAATTTTTGCCACCTTGTTGCCTGGCAGCAGCAGCTCTGTCAGGTCTGGAAGGGAGGTAGTTGGTTGTCACTCAGTTGCCCAGAGCAGCTGTGGCTGCTCCATCCCTGGGAATGTCCAAAGCCAGGTTGGATAGAGCTTGGAGCAACCTGTGCTGGTGGAAGGTGTCCCTGCCCACGGCAGAGGGTGGAATGAGATGAGCTTTAAGGTCCCTTCCAACCCAAAGCATTCCATGATTCTGTGTCCCACATTCTGCCCTGCAGGTTTGCACTGACCAGCAGGGTCAGTGGCTTTTCTGTATTTAAAACATCTCAGGTATGTGTTGTGGTGGGTGCTGGAGGAAAAAAAAAAAGAGACATCTTTTTCTCCAGAATGATTCACTGTAGAGTAAGTTTTACCATCACACTGCTGACCTTGTCCTCCCATTCTTCCCTAATGTCAGCTTTGTTTACTGCCCGTGCCTGTTGCCCAAACTAGGAGGACCAGGGAGGAGCTGCTGGATTAGAGAAGCTCTGTAATAACCAGCTCCACCTCAGAACTGAGAGGCCTTGTGTCCCACAACCAACACAGCAGTAACCAGGAAAAAGTGCAGCCAGCCCTGTGTTTTGGGCAGAATCTTGTTTTGTGCTCCACGTTCTCTGTGCTGAAGGGGCTGATTCGGGCACAGCTGGGTTTGATGTGCTCTGAAGTAGTGCTGGGTTAAAGAAAACCTTCACTGAGGTCCTGTGGAAATTAGTAATGACTTGTTTTGTGCAGTGTTGGTGGTAACTTCACCTCTGTGTGTCTTAGGAGGGTTGTTTCGTATGTCTGAAGTACGTTAATTTATTAAAATAGTTTGTACCTTACAGAGTGCCCTGATGGCAGTTCTCACAGTCCTGTCAGGAGCTGCCATCTCAGGTCTCATTATCTCGTGATTCCCAAAGGACAGTGTGGACTCTCTTTAACAGAATCCCACAGAATCTCCTGAGCTGGGAGGGACCCACAAGG